TAATTCATTGTTTCATAGGAGCCACCAAGGTAGACTGGAACTTCATACTGAGCCAGGTGTGTTTTGGTTGAAGAATGAAGGGATACCTGGCTGTCAAACAATAGATTTTTACTTTCCACAGACTGAAACTTTCAATAAACAAGGTTTCAATCCCCCTTTGGCTTCCTGAGTCGACCATGTGTTTGATGGAGCTGGAAGCTCTGGTTCTATTGTCCTACTGGTCTGAATAAAGAGGTGTGTGTGTGTGTGTGTGTGTGTGTGTGTGTGTGTGTGTGTGTGTTTACTGTATGTGTGTGTTTTGGTCTGTGTGGTGGAACCCCTGAGGACTGAATGAGAGCGCCTGCCACTGGAATGCAGCCATAACTAGCACACAGGGGACACACACACACATACAAATGTTCCTCCCCTGTTTCCAGCTCTATCAGTGTGTTTTTTTTTTCCCACATAAACACTCTCCTCAAATCTCTCAGTCCCTTTGTGTGTGTTTTCAGGCTTTAATTACGTGATTTGAGGCTCTAATAAAGCCAAGAGAGTCACAGGGGAGGTTTGCAAACACACCCTCTTCTCTCTGCAACACAAAAAATACGCACACACAGCATGCTTAAATATACCCAGCTAATGGCTCATGTTATATGCATTACAATATGAGCCTCTGCCTCACAGAGAAAAGTAAATCATCAACAGATTGTTTGAGTTCAAATCCCGTGAAATGTGTATCCTTATAGCATTGTACCTTCTTTAATAGATTTTCTCTTCAGTTTAGAGACTTATTTCATGGTTTGTTAACTATTACAATACTGGTATATCTCGTTTTCTGTCATCTTTACTTGAATTTTATCAGTATTTATACAGCAATATTGTTTTGTCTTCTCCTGGAGCATCATATAAAGTCTTATGTTTATTATTTTCTGTCTGATTTAAACCTGACAACTACTATTAAATGCAGATTACTGCCCAGGCTGCACATGTTTGTGTCTTGGTTGAGATAGCTAAAAGCTGCAGCCAGCTTGCAGATGAACTCTCAATGGGTGTTCTCTGCAGCATTGCTGTTTAAACTAAAGGTCACATTCGCAAGAGTGTGCGTTTGCAAGCCTGTCATGATTGTGTGCAGTCATGGTCCATGCACTGGACGCAGCACATTTTTACACAAAACTACCTTTAACTGTTGGAACATGAGGTTGGCCCCATAAAAAGAATACCACCAGGGCCCCCAACCACTTCGATTCACAGCTGGTTACCATGTGGAATAAAGGGACATTCAAACAATTTATTAGGAGTCAGAATTAAATCAAATATTGTGCGAGCCGGACAGATTCAAGCGTAAGACTAGAAGTCACTGCATACAAGAGGCCCCTTAAAAACATGAGATGGCTTCACCACCTGCACATTCAGTCAAAATGTGATGCAGGCTGCCATTATATGCAATCATTATTTGTATAATGCCAGTGCACAACAGGTGTGCATTGGCTGTTTAATTTTCAACAACATGAGTGAAACACTCTACGGCATTTATCAAGTTACAGTGGAGAGAAGGAACCTCCTTTCACAGGCAGAAACCTCAAGCAGAACCAGACTGATGTTAGACAATCATCAGCTGAGACTGAACTGGGTTTAAAGAGGGTAGGAAGGGACATGGAGAAAGAGAGAGATGGGTGGATATTTTTTGTATAAAGGACCTCATATCTCTGATATTTTCTTATTTTGGTCTACAGTCCAGAACTCTCACATGAAACAACATTGTGGTGACGGTTTCTATTTTTGTTATTATTATTTATTCTATAGTTTGAGTGTTTTTTTACTATAACTTTTCACCATAACGTCCTGTATGTGTGATTTATTTTAAGAATGGTTGACTTATAAAAGACAAAAACAGCATTAGTTAGGGTTTTTCCCAGCTGTAACGTAAGTCTTGCACCTTAAAACATTGCAGGATAAATATGAAGCGGACCTTTAGCTGTCAGATTCTGCTCATGCTGCTGTTGTAGTGACAGATAATCGAAACGTTTCTCAGTTTGGATCTTCAGCAATTGTGAGCCAAATGCAATCTTATCTGTGGGGGGCTAATTGTGTGGGACGGATGTGTGGGCTTTGTCACAGGGAATGTTCGTAAGTGTGTCAACACCACACAGAGGTTTTGAAGTTTCTTGGTTATGATTTCCAAACTTCCAGAGCTTTTCCCCAGACATCATCAATTCAAAGAAAAACTCTGAAACCTCTTTGAGTCTTTAGCGAGGTCTTGGGGGAATGATGGTGAACTGTGTGTGCTGGAGTGTGAGGCAGACACACAGAGAGGGAAATAAAGACGGAAGGCTCCCTTGGTAGCAAACAATTTTTGAGCGGCACAGTTCGCAGATCGACGATGATGCATTCATTTGATAAAGAAACCTGTTGAAAGCAGAGCCGCAGCTGGTCTGCATGAGTTTGAAAAATATGTGAGTATGTGTTTATCAGCACACAAACAGCAGGAGGGGGATTTTTTTTCTGCTTTGAGAACAAAAATAATCAGATAAAAGACTCTTTTCAAGACCAAGGGGAAGATTAAAAAGAAAAAGCTCTCAGGAAGGTCTGCTGTTGAATCACTTCTTTTAGAAATGCTGTTTACTTTAGGTGAAACTCAGACGAGGATAATGTCAAAAACACTTTGACATTGAGTGAGAAATGGTGGCTTATAAAGTAATTGGTTTAGGTATGCTTTTTACATGATTGTAGGAACTGCAAACCTTAATTCCAGTGAAGGTGGGCAATGTTTGGCATATGAATAAAAACATAATACAATGATTTGCAAATCCTTCTCCGCTTATATGTCATGGTTCCCCAGATGTGCTATTTTTGCAGTGCGTGTGTGTTTTTTTTTTTCCTTTTCCCTTGCTTAGTCCTACCCGGCCGGTATGGTGTGAGTGGTCGTCATGTTGTTGGAGGATCTTTGCTGCTGTCAACAGGGGATGTGTTGATTGGAGCTTCTCTGCTGGCTGCAGCTTACCGTCCACCTGTTGGTGCTGGTGTCTCTACCCCCACTTACAAATGACATCCACCAATCATCTATCCCAAACCTTCCCCCCAGAAACTATATTAGTGACTCCCGAAAACTTCAGGGAGGAGGGCAGCCGTCGTGTGTGCGTCTGTTGGAATTTGTCTGGTAGCATTGTTTATATCCTTTCCTTGTTGCCTTGGCATTTTAGGTTGAGACACTTGTTAGGGATACTGGGATGATTTTCTTTAGGTATTAGGTGATTAGGTTATTTTGTTCCTTGTTGTTTCTTTCATGTTTATAAGGTAGTTGTCCTTTGTTAAATTTTCAGAAGCTATGGGTGGAACCACAGTTGTATTTTCATTTAGAAGGTTAAGACCAGGTTATTTAAGCATGTTGATTTGGTAAACTTCTTTTTTAAAAGTTAAAAATTACTTACGTTGCTTCCCTTTTCCCGTGGAGTCACAGGGTTATAACAACTTATATTCAGTTGAAGATACTTACAGCTCAAACTGGGTAACTTGACAGTGTTTTGCAAATATTAGCTCATTTTAAATCTGATGCTCCAACATGTTCCACACGTACATTAATTTCTGAGATGAAATGAGAGCTCACAGAACAGAATAGGATTACTCCACAGGCTGTGTCTGCAGCACAGCCCAAACTCCTCAGGAGGACCTGTGGGAGTTTGGATTTTAGGGCTGTAGAGAGAGAAAGAGACTCTGCAAACATTAAAAATGGAGGACTAAACTTGCTTGTACAAAAACAAGCTGGTAAACTAAAAGTACAACTCATCAGGGTCTGTGGATCTGTCTAAGGTTGTAGAGCTCTTTTGTGGCTGCAAAAGAAGGATCCCATAGCTAGTGCCCTCCCCCCCCTCTAAATTTGAGGACTGCATTTGGAGTGTCTGTCTGAATGACCAACTTTCTTTATTTTTGCTTTTAATCATTTTTACTAAATTCTTATTTAAATCTGGCTTGGATGCTTTTTGCCTTTACTAAATTTTAATAAATACTGGTTAAATTCTGCACACCCAGATCCTTCCCCTCGGCAGTGGTTTTAGAGGTACAGCGTGTTTTATATCTGATAGAAGGTTTTATTGGTAACTAGGCAAGAATATCCTCAGGATCGACGTCCAGATCACTACAATTAAATCTGACATTAGAGCCCAGATCATTTAGAGTAGATGAACAGGAGTGACTGATGTTGGCTGTTCTGTGTTTGCTTCATCAGCAGTAGATGAGTATACATCTGAATGTAGGAAGACACATAGGCTGTGTCTTAATTCGGGGTCTGCATATTGGGCAGTGCACATTTGCAGTGTGCGTGATGTCCTCACACTGCATCAAGGGTGTCCCCTTTCACTTGCAATACTGATGGCCCTCAAAATGCCACCCAGCCTCTACCCCTTTTACAGGTGTATATCCATGCACACTGTGTGGCCTTGGAATCCCCAGAATTCTTTGGGTGCCGCTGCAAAGGTGCGTATTTCAGGTGAGACATCAGACTAGTGCTGCAACTAACGATAATTTTTGTTGTCGACTAATCTATCAATTATTTTTTCGATTAATCACGACTATCTTCTTTATTTATAAACACCCATTTTAGACTTCTGTTTAACGTAACTTACTTAAACCTTAAATCCTGTTGTACTCTGATAGCATGTTTTTGAACAAATATATAAAAAATAATGACATAAAACATTTACCTGCAATATAGTTTATATATTTTTCAATGTAAAATACCACTTTGACCACAACAAAAATAATTAAATTGTACAAACTTAAAGTACAAGGTAGTAAACAAAAACTCTATCAAGAAGTATATCAAAAAAAGCTGCAGGTAACCTGTCTGCAGGTTGAGGAGGTAATTAGGTTTAAATCAACCAAGGAGTTGCTTTTACTTAAAGCAAATAAGCCCATAAAAGTAAAATACATAAATAAAACAAAAGATCAATTTTGTCATTTTTTTTTTTCTTGTAAAGTCCCAACTGTCAACAAAGCTTAAAGCCAACATAACTGAGGGAAAAATCATCTTTTTTTTTTTTAATTCAAATTGCAGTGCAGGAACTTAAGCATGTCAACATGCTTAGGTGTGAGGCTGGCTCTCTTCTTTGAGGCGGTATTTCCAGCTGCAGAGAAGAGACGCTCAGATGGTGTAGAGGTAGCTGGAATGCACAAGAATGACTTGGCTAGTGATGCAAGGGTTGGATACTTTGCCTTATTTGACTTCCACCAAAAAAGGGGACTCTCAGTCTTTGAAAGAGGCGGCTGTCCGAAGTACATCAGTATCTGCCATGGGACAACAAATGAAAATAAGCATAATGAAGATTTGTGAAATATTATCTTGCTAATTAAAATGTACTATTATTCAATTAAATAAATCTTACCTCATTGGTGATAGACTGGTTGTTGTGAACATCCTGTTCATTGGTCTCAGTGTCACTGTCTGTTGAGGAGTCACAGGCCAGCAGTGAATCTAGAGCTGAAAAAGTTCTCTCAGCTGAGGCAAGGCTTTTGTCAGCCTCACTGGCATTTTTCTTCTCATTCCCTGGGATGGATTGCAGGGCCAGAGCTTGGACTTTTTTTTGAACAGTGAACCTCTCCTCTGGGGTCAGAAATTTCAGTTTCCTAAATCGTGGATCTAAGGCTTCTGTGATGACCTGTGTGCATGGTTCATCACGCGTGACTGTGACCTCATTAGTCCAGCGTACAGTGGTCTCCTCTGAAGCAACTGCCTGAAAGGCCTGCACAGGAGCTGCATCATAGGTGGTGTGAGTGGACTTCAAAAGCCCTCTGACCAGAGGAGGGAGAGCAGAGACTGTCACATAACTTTCACTACTCAAGTAGACTGTGGCGCATTCAAAGGCTGTAAGAGCTTTAGCCAGTTCCTCTAGCAGGAGCCACTGATCTGCTTTCAGGTCAAGGAAATGTTTATCACTCTGCGTGACTGTTGGGTCAGACAGTGTTGAAGTTAGCGGCCATCTCTGTTCTAGCAAACGGGTGACCAAGTAAAAGGTGCTGTTCCACCTGGTAGAGACATCTTGGATAAGTTTATGTTCTGGGGTCCCCATCTGTTTCTGTTTGGCCTTCAGCGTGCTTGAAGCCAGTTCACTTTTTCTGAAGTGCTCCACAAGACATCTTGCTGCTCCCAGTGTTTTCATGATCTGAGGGTGTTTTAGAGCACGACTGATCACCAATTGCAAAGTGTGACCAGCACAGCGGATTGACATCCACCCATGCTTTTCTTGCAGAATGTTTGCAGCCAGGACAACAGCCACAATATTGCTTGCAGAGATCTCAAACCTTGCCATGGCCTCCTCAATCCATGCAGCAATGTTTGATCCAGTATGTCATTCTTCTAGTGGCATGGTTGTGAGACAGAGGCTTGTGAGCTCCCAGTCATCACTTACGAAGTGACATGTGATGCCAAGATATGCCTCTGTGGAAATGCTTGTCCAGGCATCAGCTGTGAGGGCAATCTTGTTCTTGTTTAATTTAAGAGTTGCCTTTATGTCACTGACAGCAGTCTCATACTTTTCTTCAATCAGTTTGGTAAAATGAGTTCTGGATGGCAAGGTGTAGCCTGGATGAAAGGTCTGGATCATCTGCTTGAAGCCATCATCTTCAACCATGGATATTGGTCTCATGTCGGTTACTATCATGTTAAGGATGCTCTGTGTCAGGACTTCAGCCATTTGGGGGGTGCATGAACCTCTTTTCATGACAAACTCATCCACACGCCTCTGCTTAACACTACTAAAACAAAGAGAATAAAACGAGTTATATTACTTCACAATTCAAATTTAAATTTTTCAAAATTAAATACCTGAAACAAATCACAGATTTCTTCGTTGTGAAATATCTTAGTCTTAAATATTGAACTAATATGCTCCAAATCACACAGTTGATAAGCGCACAAGGTTTACAATTCAGTATAAAAGCTAGTAGGCCTAACGCCTGTAATTCATTGATTACTGCCATAAAATACGCTTTAACGTAAGTGAATAGCGCTCGCTAAACAAGCTTCTCCCATGATTTACTGACTGACTGATCTACGACACACACGTTGTATTTGCATCGTATGCTGGTGATTAATTAACAAATTAGCATGTCGTTTTAAAATATCTACGAAGTATCAAAGTTATTTGTGAACTCACCTTTCTGCGGTACATGTTACGGCTCCGGGGTGTCGGCGTTTCAGATGCTCATGCATCGCCGTGGTGCTGCCACGGTACGAAAGCTGGGCTTTGCATAGCTTGCAGTTAACATGCTTTTTTGGCTTGTTCTCGGTAAAATGTTCCCAAACTCTGGAAGTTTTGGGACGAAGTTTTTGGGCGTCGTCTTCGGTTCTTTCTGCCATACTGTGTGCATTCTTCTTCTGTGTTTTCGCCATAGGTTTGCTCGCGGGATGTAAACAGCGAGCGCTACTGCCCCCAGCACATCCTGTAGTGCACTGCAGTTATAGATGAGCATGAGGCGCCGGCATGTGAATTTCAACAGCAATAACACAACGCATCGACGCTTATGTTTTCGTGTCGATGAATTTTTGTTGTTGACGTAATTGATTACGTCGACTAATCGTTGCAGCCCTACATCAGACTCGCTTCAGCACCTCCAAAAACACAACACAGTTAGCTCAGGCTCCATGAGCGCATGCTCTCTTCACTCACTCAAATCTGCACCTTTCTCACAGTGGTAAAAGCACCGCAGTCACAGAATAATATCCAAACCAGCAAAATAACCACAGACAGGCAAAGTAACCTGTTGTCAGTGTGAAGGCTAAAACATACAGAATCCGTATTGAGCGCATATTGTCAGCGTTGCGTATCACACAGCAAATAGGTTACCATTCTGATCAATGCAGCATCGCATACAGGCTGTGTATCAGCTCTGTTGCAGCTCCGTCTCAGAGGCGTATCGAGCGCGGCTCTGCTAAAAATACACAAGTCTATTTTCTCTGCTCTAGTCTTCCAATACGCATCAATCTACACAGAGAAGATCATTCTAGACAGGATATCAAGTACAAAAACTGTGCGTGTCATCCAGTTTTTCAAAATAAAACACCATATGCGGACTCCCGACTGTGTATCAGTTCATGAAGATGAGAAATACTTCCTGGTTCTGGATTTATCAGTAACACAGAACAATCCAATGGTCAATCCCTGATCCATGTGGACCACAACAGGACTTTGAACTGCTGACTCTGTCTGAAGGTAACAGCACAGCATAAAGGAACATAGTTTACTTTATTAAACACGAGTAAACCTGCAAAAACCAAAACTGTAAAATCACATTGCTTTTTCACATAGAGTAGAGGTTCAATAGTCACAGAATAAAATCCAAATTAGCAGGAAATAGACCACATAGTGGCAAAACAACCTGTTGTGAGCATGTTGTTTCCTCTATACTGAGCCCAGCTGACCGGGGCTGCACTACGCTGCTGCCACACAGTAAACACGCATGAGCAAATACGGAACACGCTCGATACAGATCCTGTATGTTTTCAGCTTAAGTGCAGCTGCTCCGGGGTCTGCTAAACAACGTCTCAAACACACCCTTCAGTAGGTTTTTTGGGGTCTGGTAATAGATGATGGGGTCATAATAAAAGTAACATCAGCTCCCCCAGCAAAAGAGGAACTTCTTATTCCTAAAACCAGAAAGATTTATATCAGAGCAGTATGTGGACAACAGTTTGTGTAAAAAATCTCTACATTATAACCCGAGACAAATGTCATCAAGTACTCTGTGGTTTCAGCTTTGAGGAAGATCTGACATTGGACGCCAGACCATCAGGACCGACTTTTTAAATTAGACTTTGTCTCTGTGTTTCGAGAGGACAGGCAGTCTGAAAATGTTCTTGACTTTTCCAAGTGTTTTGACCCGTTTAAATTCCAAAGAACCTGCTCCATCGCTTAGAAGGAGAAAAAGAGTGTTTATTTCCTTGTTGCAGTAAATCTTCTGAATTTCTTATGTCTCCAGATGACAGTTGTGTTTATGTCGGGTGTCCCTGGGTGCTCCGGTCTTGGGTCTGTGACAGTAGAAACTTTACTTTCCAACAGATTCTTATTTCAGCTCAGTCCCAATGATGAACCTGGCACTGACAGAAGCAGTGAGGACAGCCTGTGACAGAGCAGAGATGGAGTAAAGACCACGGCACCCTGCTGCTTAATGAACAAGGACGGGCTGGAAATGAAAGCCAGGCTTGCTTCTCTCTGTCACTTATTATGTTTCCATTCAGCTGTCTGAGGTTTTCAGCAAACTCTTAAACTGACAACAAAACTGAAAGGACAATTACACAAATGTTTCAGTTCCCACAGTTAAAGTGAATGGAAATATCCCCATCCTGCTGCCAGAGCTCAGCAAAAACATGATTTAATTAGCATTATGACATTTGTTATTGGCTTTTAGAATGAGTCAGGAATTATGCAAAATGAGATAACAGAGGTGCTTAAATATAATTAGCTCTGAAATTAAGTTTGGTGAATTAAGGGGAGAAGGTTTGACATTACTGAGAGTGTGATTGACCACTTAGTGAAGTGAAATCCCTCTAAAAGTGTCTCAGTTGATTTGTATTGCAAAATTAATTTAAAGACAAAAGACCTATAAACCATTGACATTGCAAACATCTAATGGTCTTTAATTAATGAACATTTGCAGATCTGTGAGCAACAACCAGACCTTTTAGTGCAGACAATAACAGACATGCCAAAGGCCCAAGGGCTGTGGGCCACAGTGAATTGAACTTATTGACAAATGATGTATTTAAAACACACACTGGGCCCAGGCATCAGGTTCATTCATGCATCATACAGTCAGCAATTGTACAACGATCAGGTTAAAAAAGTGTGCAAGTTTTGCAACGACTATGCAGAGCCCAGCAAATGAGACTTCAAATAGCCTACACATTGCTGAACAGGTCTGTGCCTGTGCAAATATTAAAATATGAGCAATGTTTGAACCAATAAAGTGAGTCTGTGCGGCACACAACAATAAATCTAAGTATGTCTGTGTGTCAGTGAAGTATTCGTCAGTACCAAGTATCAAATACAACTGAATTATGATGTTTAACTTCTTTACCTTCAAATGCCAGCGTTCAAGTTAAAGGGACATTTCAGTATTTTTGAAGAGGGGTGGTATTATTTATTTATTATTCATTATAATTTAATTTCCCTTTGTGGATAAAAAGTTCTTATCCTATTAGTTACATACCACTGGTCATTGGATGCTCGTCAGGCATGCTGCCCAGAGAACCAGCAGGCAAGCTAGGCGACCAGTTTCTGTTCGGTAATCTGCCAATTTTCATTTTGGATTAACTGTACCCTCTAGTCTGCATTTTTTCAGCCCTTTCCCTTGCCAACCACAACACAAGGATGCGATCTTCATTTATGAAAACATTATGATTAGTTTGCTTAAATGCACAAGGGGAGCCTTTTTGTTTAAAAAAACCCGAATGTTATTGCCGCATCACATTTGCAGTAAATTCAACGACCTTAACTCAGAGTCCATATAGGAGCTCTGGGAGTTTGCTGGATGTCATAGATCTGTAGACGTTTGGAAAAATAAAAAATAAAAAAACATTTAAAAAAAGGAACACATTTGCTGCAATTTTTGAAGGGGAGATCCATTCATCCATTCATTCATCCATCCATCTTGAACCGCTTATCTGGAGTTGGGTCATGGGGCAGCAGCCTATGCAGGAAAGCATTCCTGCTTCTGGACGAAGCTGGCCACTTTATATAGCTCTTCCTAGGGGACCCCAAGGTGTTCCCAGGCCAAAAACAGTGTGCTCGTCCCGTTCCCCAGATCACTGCTTCACCTGTGTCCCTTTTACCTGCCCATTCACCTGAAGTGCCGCTTGTGGTGGTTGTGTGAGTAACAAAACAAAACCCAAAAATGAATATAGATAAAATGGCTCATACAGGTCCTATCCAGCCTTTTTTACCTGTAAATTTTGGAGAAGACCAGCTGATTTACATGAGCAATAAAAAGATTTAGATGTTATGGCAGAAAGGTAACAAAACAATTCAACTCTGAATCTCCTTCATGGTCACAACTCCTGTCATATCTTGTTTAACATCATCATCACCAATGTGTTTGCTATACATTTACTGGTGTTGAGCTTGATCTGCCAAAGACCCAGGTTTTGAATTTGCACTTATTG